AGATAAAGTTGTGTTATTTTTTAAATTAATTAATTCGTAAATAAAATTATTGTTAGTATTATGTTTCTTTTATTTGAGATAAAGTTGTGTTATTGATTTAAAAATGAGAAAATTTGTAAAAATATTCTAATAATTTTATGTATTTTGAAAAGTAACCTATGTTTTGAAAATTTTGAAAACTAACTTTATTTATATTGGAATTTACAAATATATCCTAAATAAATCAGACCTATAAATTATTTTTAATAATCAAAAGCTAATCACATGATTTTAACTTAATGGATGTTAATTAAAAAAAAAGAAAAAAGAGACGCATGATTTTAGCAATATTGAGAAGGTGACCTTGCTATGATTTTCTCAATTTGACGAAAGTTTTGGTCGTCTTAAAGCATATTAATTTTCATTGTTTACTTTATGTTTATTTATTGGTTACTGTTTAGTTTGAATTAATGGTAATTAAAAAAAAAATTCTTCTTTTCTTGGTTTTATGATTTTGAATGTCTCATTTTTACTTTACTGAATTTGATTTTAAGAACTTCTCACCAATTTTATTATAGTTCTTCTAATACCTCTTTTTCTCTGTTTTGATATGTTTAATTGTGTATAAAGAGATATGAAATCACCATCACTATATTATAACTCAATTAACATATTTTTAGCCTTTAAGATTGTGATCGATAGATTATAATAATCTAATGAAACTTATAAGGATGACTATATAGAAAGAGGCATATATCTACTAAGCATGAGGAATCTAAATTTAAACTAATACTAAAATAACTTGTTTTCTAAAAAGAAATATAAAATTTTAGATAATGTTATATAAAATTTTCTATAATCTCATATCAAATATAAAATAAATCTTGTAAAAGATATGATCAACTAAAATATATATATATATATATCACAAAAAATTAAATTTTATTTAAAATATATAATTTTTTGTTCAGATTTTATGGGGATATCTTAGTAATTTTAAATTCAATAAAGTGTATTTTTCAAAACTATTAAAAAGAGAAGTATTTTTTAAATTTAAAAAACCAAAAGAGGTATTTTTTCAAATTTCCTCAATTTTTTTTTATATTTCACCAATTGCAATGAGAGAAATTGAAAGAAATTTGTGAAATTCTTCAATACACATATGTCATACAGAACTACGGATACGTTTGACTTAAATGCTTAATAGTTCCTTGTAAGTTTACATATTGAATTTAATAACTTTTATATGTATGATATAGAAAGAACGAACAAATAAAGCAATATTTTTGGAAAATGAAATATGAAGTGATGGTCAATTTGTAAGAAAATTTTCAGATATTATGTTAAAATATTTTTAAACTAGTATTTCTATATTATTTATGTTAGAAAAAATATTGATGGAATAAGTTGGATTTAGAAAATAATTTAATACANTTATAAACATNATATTTGATTTTGTGAAAGACAATTTTGNATTAATAATTTNATAAGTTTTACTAATTTATTTATTTTCAAAAATTCTGTAACATTCTGCAAGATTCCGCTGTTACCATTTATATTTAAAGTTATTCTACCAGATTCGGCATAAATTCATCAAAAATTCTACAAGATTCTGCAATTCCGCAAAATTCTGCAATTCCGCAAAATTCATATGATATCATTTACACATTCTATTAGTGATGAGTAAATAGATTTGCTAGTACCTTTTGATCGATAATAAACAGGGGGTTTCGGCTTATTTCTATCCGTACTCTAACCAAGTGCAAAAATTTCTACCCACTTTGTCAAAGAGTGCGTAAAACTACCCAAACTCTGGTGTTTTGGCTTATTTCTACCCGCACTCTAACCAAGTGCGAAAATTTCTACCCACTTTGTCAAAGAGTGCGTAAAACTATCCAAACTCTTTAGAATTTATATTTTCGTACCCAAACGAAAACAGAGTTTATGACTCAGATTTATGTTTAAATTTTTTTAAAAAAAAATATGAAACGACGTCGTTTCATGTCTTGTTTAGGAAAAAAAATCAAAATCGAAGGATGAAACGAAACACAACGACCACAACTAAACGATCCTCAATTTGCCGCAGGAGGAGACAAGAACGCTTTATATTGACCTGGAGACCTCTGAGCAGGTCTTCCCGGCAAACAATTTCTCCGNTCATCAAACTCCGGCAATCTAAGACACACATGCACTTCTCCGGTAAAGAAATTTTATTTAAAAGTTAAATTTTCAAGCTTCGGTAACTAACAAATACTAGCCGGAATCTTCCCAAATAATTATTTTTTTTTCCTAACTCGTTTCATATTTTCAAAAAAAAAAACACATAAATATGAGTCATAAACTCTGTTTTTGTGAATAAGATGCCTAGTAAGCTCCGTCAAAGGAGAATTTAACACCGAATCTCTAAGGTATAAATACACTTAATTTAATTAGTTTGGGTACGAAAATATAAATTGTAAAGAGTTTGGGTAGTTTTACGCACTCTTTGATAAAGTGGGTAGAAATTTTCGTACTTGGTTAGAGTGCGGGTAGAAATAAGCCGAAACTCTAGAGTTTGGATAGTTTTACGCACTTTTTAACAAAGTGGACAGAAATTTTCGCACTTGGTTAGAGTGCGGGTAGAAATAAACCGAAACTCTAGAGTTTGGGTAGTTTTACGCACTCTTAACAAAGTGGGTAAAAATTTTCGTACTTGATTAAAGTGCGGGTAGAAAATTTTGCACTTGATTACAGTATGAAACCATAAGTAAACCGCTGTTTTTGACATGCCTCCCCGAATTGATTTGACGACTCTTGCAAGCAATTAATACCTTAATAAAAAAAGTTGGTAAGCTCGTTGAAAACCAAAATAAAACAGAGACTATGCAAAAAAAAAAGAAAAAAAGTGATTGTGCATAAAAATAAAATAAATAAAAAAGAACCAAAAACAATCATCTTATTATATAAAGAAGAATGCACGCGATAAAAGCTTGATATATAGGCAAAATTCTTAAGCATTAGATCGTGACATGGGTAATTATTAATTTAGATTGTGACATGTATCAATATTAACAAAAATATTTATAAAAAAAATAATGAATATATTCTAAATAAGGATTATTGACTAATTAAGAAAAAGAAAACAAAAATCGTTTTACTAAACTATGTAATATTTTCAATATTAACAAAAATAAGTAAAATAAAATAAAGAATATATTCTAAACAAAGATTACATACTAATTAAGAAAAAAGCAAAAAACGTTCTACTAAAATAGGTGAGATTTTTATATTTTTATATTATAAAATACATTCTTTCCATTATAAATTTTATCTAAATAGTTAAAGACAAAAAATATCATATTGATAAGTGTGATTTTGCTAATATAAACCTAACATAAGCCATA